GGAAATCCTGGACCCGTCACGCAGGGAGTCGCAGTGGAAAAGGCAGGCATTGAATGATCAGATGAAGCGTGCCAGATCCGAACTCCCCTCCCTTCCATGGGAAGTGGATGGACAGTGCAGTGCGTTTCCAAGTTCGCTCTCGCCAATAACTTCTGGGAGACTTGTGAAGACCATCTTAGATAAGGGCCCCGCCTTAATAGGATGTGCCGAAGTGCAAGAGTCAGTTGTTGTGACGAGTCGTAGCCCTGAAGCGTCCTCCTGTCGCCCAAACAGCAAGGCCATTGTGAGAATCAGGGGAGCTCGTATGGAGCAGCCGGAGGAGGATATCAGACGCCTGGCCCTGAATCGGCTGAGAGAGATTGTTTTGCATGATCCTGAAGCAACAGCACTTGGGTCTAGCCTGGTGCAACTCGGGTCGGGCTTGGTAGATGACAAGACGATCAGTCAGTCTTTCCATGACTGCTTCAGGAACAAGGCTTCCACAACTCTCCAGAAACGAGCCGGGTCTCTGATAAAATTTTTCTGGTGGGCCCGCAGCAATGGCTTGAGGCCACTGAGGTTCGATGAAAGCGAACTATACGCGTATCTGTGTTACCTAAGGGAGTCCGGCTCAGGTGCAACGGCCCTGCAACATGTGATTGAAGCATTGAGTTTCTTGGATGGTGCAGTGCGGTTCAAATTCGTGGTCATGAACCAGGTCTTGTCGGGCAGATGCAAGGGGGCAGCTCGTGACTCTTATTTGACAAAGGCCCCCTTGAGCCAAAAGGACCCGCTCAGTCTGGCACAAGTGCGCGCTCTGGAAGAACTATGTGTGACTGCCCAATCGAGAGATGCGTGCATCATTGGTCAGCTGCTTTTCTGTGTGCACTCGTGTTGCCGCTGGAAAGACTCGCAGAGGATCCGGAGCCTGACGCGTGAGTCGTCGCAAGACGTGACTTTGGTGCATGCCGATGCCGCAACTCTGACAGCCGAAGCTCAAACTAGGTTTTTGCCTTACGTGGCTCTGGGGACCGGCGTGTCGTTCAGAGACTGGTCCAAGGCTTGGTTGGCGGCTCGGGAGGCTGAGGAGTTGTCTTTTGGTTCCTATGCCTTGCCCAGTTATAGCGACCGTGAGGCAGGTTGGACGGATGCCCCAATGTCATCCTCGGAGGCTACGGAGTGGCTTCGTGAGTTCTTGCAAACTGCAGGTGCACAACCAGCAGAGCTGTCCCGGGTGGGCAGCCATTCTTGCAAGAGCACCATGCTAACCTGGGCCGGGCGATCAGTTCAAGTGAAGTTCTCGCAGGACGAGCGTCGGCTTTTGGGCCATCACTTGATACCGGGAGATCGCAGCATGTTAACGTACTCCCGAGAAGCCTACACCACTCTGTACGGCATGGTGCTTGCAATGTATAGGTTGATAGAGAGCGGCGAGTTTGATCCTGACATGACGGCGGTATCGCGTGTTCTGGACTGCGCGTCGGCTATCAGCCAGTTGGCCGCCAGGGAAACCTTTCGTGTGCAGGAAGAGCCTCAGGTGTCAGAAGGTGACAGCGATACGAGCCGTGCATCTTCAGCAGGTGTGCTTGCGCCCGAAGCAGGATCCTCCCCAGGCATCTCGAGTGTTTGTGTGCCGCAGAAACCGAACACAGTGCAGAGTGCCTTGTGGGAACCCGAGGACTGCGTGATCCATCGCCTTTCAGGGGTAGTGCACATCGTCAGGTCAGGCCAGCTCTTAAAGTGCGGTAGGTTAGTGACCAAGAATTTTGAGCGACTGCCCGAACAAGTGCCAGACTCACGAGAGTTGGATCATTGCGTTCAATGCAGCAAGGCCCAGCACCCGTGACAAGTGCCCCTCAGGCCGAGCATTCGCAATGCATGTGTTTCGCATTTCCGTTGGACGCAGTTGGCGGCAGCCCGGTCAAAGAATTGCTTTGATGTCGACGGGAATGCTTGCCACGGGGTTTAAAGGGGACCTCGGGAAAATTTTTCACTCTTTAGAGCCCCCCATGTTTTCCCAAACTCCTTCCTCCTAATTCCCGAAACATATCTGATGCGGCATGCGGGAGGGCGAGGCTGTGAGCGCTCCGGGTGAATGTGTGTCTTTGTACCGCAGCACCGATTGAGTGTCTCTACCCCGCGATGACCTTCCGGTTCAAGCCCTGAGAGATGTGAGGGAATAGCCAAAGTCAGGGGCGAGGAGGCGCCCTTAGTTGTGGCAGTGAGTTGTTTGGGAAAGCACCCGAAGGGGGGGGGGGGAAAGAAATTCACGCAGATAGCTAACTCATTCTCTTGTGCGAGTTCAGGAGGAACCCAGCCATGGCATCGGCCACACTGGATAGCAAAGCAGCGTTTGCAGAGAGAGCTTGCCAAATCGGAGTTTCGGAGGAATTTGCAACGCTGTTGAAAGAGGCTGGGTTTGGTACATATGGGGCTTTGGCTTTTGCGGTGCCTCAAAATGCTACCCAGCAGGATGAGCAACCATTTCTCAGTTTCCTGAAGCGCATCAATGGGGACGTGGATTTGTCTGAGATCGAGACGGCATGCATGCGAAGGTTGTTCTATGAGAGCCACACGCTGGCCCTGTCCGACCTGAAGCAGCGGGTTGAAGCCGGGCCCGATCAGGCGCAGCAGGTGAGAAAGCTCCCAACTGCCGAGCGGGTGGCCAGACAAAAGGAGCAAGAAGATCGCCTAACGGGGATAATTTTTACTCCTGAGGTAATGCCATCCAATAAGCTGGTCGATCAGTTCGTCGAAATGCTGGAATCTGGCGTCTTGGTCTATTTGCCGCCGGATGCGTGCGCTAGCCGGGCGCAAGAGATCCAGTGTGTAAAGAAGGACGCGGCTATTTCATTAGACGGCGCAGGCACCCTTCGTTTGCAGAGCAGATCAGCTGACCCGGTGGTGGATGCGGGCACTGAGGTGAAGTTGCGAGCAGCTTGGCTCAGGAGGAGTCTGGCAATGGACCAAGCCGGGCTATCGACTTTCCAGGCCGTGGAGCGTTGGGTACAGTATCTGATGCAGCAGTTGTGCAAAGACCAGCCGAAGAATTTTAGCCGAGTAACTTTGCAACAAATTGTTGAGTGCGACAAACAGCTGTTCACAATGGCGTCAATTGAGACCATGGGCACCTTGGCTGCGCCTCCGTCAGGGGAGAAGCCACTAGATGCGGCCATTTGCGACTGAGCAAGTCGAATGAGGTGCTGCAGTACTTGACGCCGTTTCCGCAGGCCAGAGCAGCCGGTTCGAAGGACCAACCCGATCACCCGGCTAAGAAACCGAAGGTGACCCCCAAGGGAAGTCAAAAAGGGGGAAAAGAAAGCGGCGGCAAGGGCAAATATTCTATTCCAGATGGGTGCGTGTCAAAGGACGACCAGAACAGGCCCCTGTGTTTCGCCTTCCAGCATGGCAAGTGCTTGTACAAAGGCCCAAAGCAGAGGTGCGCCAGAGGCTACCATTTGTGCTACAAGGCGAATTGCTTCCGCCCAAAGCCGTTTTGCCAGTGCACGCACAGACAGGATGCGGGGGCCGGTGGTGACGTTCCTGCAGGGTTTTCCGGCCATGGAACCACCCCGGCCCCACCTGATATGTTGAATGCGAAGTCCAACAGGGCACTTTTGCCGAAGGCAAATCCAGAGCCGCTAGCCAGGGAAGACCTTCAAGGGGCCTTCTGTGAATTCCAAAGCATGCCGTCGGCCCTCGCGCCCCCTTTTTCGGGTGAGGAGGGGGCGGATTTGGGTTACCCAAACAAGAAGCCACGCCTCCAAGGGGGCTCGCCGTTTCACGTTTCACCTTCCGTAAGCACGCAGCCTTTAGTTGTGGAAGTTTTTGCAGGCAAGGCATCATTTTCTAGAGCGTTGCTGGAAGCAGGATTCGCAGTGCTTAGTGTGGACCACCAAGCCGATGAGCCGCAAGTGCCTATGGTTCTGCTAAACCTCACAGCCGCCTCTGGGCAGGAGATTTTGTGGACAATGATCAAACAGCCCCAAGTGGTTGCCGTGCACCTGGGGGTCCCTTGCGGGTCTGCAAGCCGAGCCCGGGAGCGTCCGATGCCTAAGCATCTTGTGAGAGCAGGCGTGCCCTGCCCAAAGCCTCTTAGATCCGGGATGCACCCTCTGGGTTTGCCAGGGCTGAGCGCACGGGACCAGGCCAGGGTTGACAGTGCAAACATCTTGTACAGCTTGACCTTGGAAATCGCGTTGCACTGTTTGCAGCACAACATCGTGGTTAGCATCGAGAACCCGACAAATTCTTGGACGTGGGCAGTTTTTGTAAGGATTTTGAATAATTCTCACGATGCCGCCGCTAAGCACCTGTACAATTCCATGCAGCCAGTTGAGTTCCACTCGTGTTGTCACGGCGGTCTTCGAAGGAAGGCTACCAAGTGGTTGTCCACGCCAAGGGTCTACGCGGCCTTGCAGGCAGTGTGCCAGAATGACCATGAGCATGCGCCCTTCGGAGTGACGCGATCCGAATCCGGTTGGCAGTTTGACACATCTCTCGAGGCTGCCTATCCGAAACTCTTGGCCCAAAGGGCAACAGCGTGTCTGGCCACATGGGTTGGCAAGGTGCTCGGCCAGCCGGCTCGTGTCAAAGACCTGTCGACCGCCTTCCTGGCACGACAAACGAAACGGCACCGACCAATTGTGCCCGAGTACAAATCAGTTGCCGAACGCCCAGTGGCACACAAGCTGGGCGAATTAGACAAAGTGCTCTCACCTCATCCAAAGGGGGTCAGCGTGCGGGAGGTGAGTGCTTTTGAAGGGCAGCAAGCCCCCCGGGCTACCGAGGTGCAGAGAGTAGGAACTTGGTATGACCCCGCCGAATTCCTTCAAAAAGCAACCAAAGCCCGGCACCCAATGGATACGACGTGCGCGCTTGATCCTGTTGCCGTGGAAGTGTTGGACAGGGTCATGTCCATGGATCCTCGGTTACTAGCAGTTGAGCGGAAGAAAGCCATCCTCTCTGCGAAAGTCATGGGCTTAAAGCTGGCACCTGCCGAGCAACGGCTCCATGACGGCATGCCCGCGTGCGTCAGTAAAGTGGTGAAGGGGAAGAAAATCCTTCTGTGGGAGCACCTACTACGCAAGCATAGCTACGATGACTTGGGAGTAGTGGATTTCATGAAGCACGGGGTTCCACTCGTGGGCAGTCACGATACCCCCGAATGTTTTCCTTTGAAGAGCGGGAGCTGAGGGACTCAGCTCTGTGGCGCCGAAAGGCCCTGCTCGCAAAGGACCAGGGGGCCGTTAAGCCCGACCACTTTAAGCACCTAGAGGACACTGCCCGGGAGGAACGTGAGGGGGACTTCATTGAGGGACCTTTTCTGTCTGAGGCTGCAGTAAGTGACCACCTAGGCCATAATCTTTGGGGGTAATCCGCAGGTTTGTGCTTGTGCAGGGGACGGAGGGAAAGCTTCGCCCAATTGACGATGCGCTGGAATGCCAGTTGAACAGCGCCTACTCAACCACGCTCCACCTGCAACTGCAAGACACGGACTTTGTTACGGCGTTGGCCTTGGAGATATCAAAGCGGGTTTGTCAGGGCCGTCAGAGGTGCGGGAGTGGCCGCTGGGTGGGCAAATGCCTGGATCTTTCTAAGGCATACAAACAGTTGCCGGTCCACCCCAGCCACCGGGACCTCGCGGTGATTTTCTACAAATCTCCAGAGGGGCGCACTGTGTTTCATGTGACTAACTCCATGTTTTTCGGAAGCTCTGCCGCGGTGTTTGCTTTCAACCGCATTTCACGTAGCTTGAGGTTTCTGTTGTGCAAGGAGTTGCTGGTTTTTTCCAGTGTGTTCTACGACGACTTCCCTCTTTTCTCTCCTGAGGAGTCGGCCGACGAAGCAGATGAACGAGCCTCAGAGCTGTTGGACCTACTTGGATGGCGCCACGCGAAGACAGGCCCTAAGGCCCCAAGCTTCCAACCTGCCTTCGTGGTTTTGGGCATGAACCTTGACCTTGTTAGCGTGCCTGAGGGAGTTGTCACCTTGAGCAATAAACAGGGAAGGGTAGATCGCTTGTGCCGGAGTCTCTTGGAAATCTCGGGCCGTGGCTCTGTGGGACGCCAGGAGGCTCAGTCCGTTCACGGACTGCTCCGATACGCCAGTGGCCATTTTGCAGGACGTCAGCTCTTGCAAGCCAGTGCAGACTTCCTCAGATGGAGCTTGGAAAAATCGCCAAACCCGGAACACCTCAGGCGTGTGTGCGACCGAGCTGTTGCCTTGCTTAGAGCAGGAAAACCTCGGGCCATCCCGATCCATTTAGAAGAGAAACCCGTGATAATTTTCACTGACGGTTCATGGGAAAATGGTGCAGGCGGCATCGGGGCTGTGGTGGTCGACCAGGCGACTGACACACGGAGGGTCTTGTCAGGCGAAGTTCCTTGTGAGCTGGCTGAGCTGTGGTCGGAGTCTGTGGGCCTGCAGGCCATCTGTGAAGTTGAGCTGTTGGCCGTCGTGGCCCTGAGGGAAATCCTTGGGGAGAGCCTGCGCGACCGAAGGGTAATTTTCTGGGTAGATAATGAGAGCGCTAGGTTTGGACTCATCAAAGGTATTTCAAAAAGCTTGCCCATGCAGAACTTGCTACATCAGTTTTGTGAGCTTGAGCTGGGCATCCCCTGCTTCCAGTGGTACGAACGAGTGCCATCAGCCTCCAACTGTGCGGATGGGCCCTCTCGCCGGAACTCCACGGAGGTGTGTGCATGGCTGGGCTTGCAGGGGCCGGAACCCTTTGAAGTGCCTGCCAGGTTGATTCAGGCACTTGTGTCGGAGTGATTGAGCGTCAGGAAGAGGGGGAGGAAAGCGGGACGCTGGGAATGGAGGCATTTTGTCACAGCCCAGACCGTTGCCTCGATGACCCCTTTTGGATAGCCATTGTCCGCATCAACAAAGGTGCTGTGTGCTTTCCCCTGACTGTCACTTGCACAAGGAGATGCCGTGAAAAGAAAGAGCGGCGACTCGTGTTGTCTATTTATGAGATGCTTTCACTGGGACGTTAAACCACTGGGGGGGTTTGGGGGTTGCTGGTTCCCCCCCCCCCCCCTTTTCTGGGATTGGCTCAAACACATTTCGCTTAAAATGGGAGAAGGGAATTTCTGTTGCAAACAGACAGTACTTTCTCTCCGTGTAGCGACACAGGGACGCGGTGAGTCCCGACCTGTTTGAGACCCCTCCCCAGCGTTGCTTTTTCTTAGAACCTGTGGGAAACTCCAAACCCCCAGGTTAAGATTTCTCCTTTTTGTGGTTTGTGCGTGTGACTCTCTCAAAGAGAGTTGACGCTTGCGCATGCCAAGGGTGACAAACCAATTGATCTGCTGAACCAACTTTTAACAACCATGTGGTTTGAAACAAACCGCCGTGATTGGTGTTTCATCCCATTTTTACATTGCAAAGCATAGGCTCTGCATTGCGAAAGCGTGACGTATTTCAGTTTTTGTCTTCCCGTTTGGACATGTGATGATTTGGGACACCGAATTCCTTTTTTGGCTTTAGGGAGTGGAGGGTGAGATGTCCTGTTTGTTTTTGAACACTTCAGAAGTGTGAGGAAAACCCGCCCAACCGCTCCTGGGGAGGAAAGCGGGACGCTGGGAATGGAGGCATTTTGTCACAGCCCAGACCGTTGCCTCGATGACCCCTTTTGGATAGCCATTGTCCGCATCAACAAAGGTGCTGTGTGCTTTCCCCTGACTGTCACTTGCACAAGGAGATGCCGTGAAAAGAAAGAGCGGCGACTCGTGTTGTCTATTTATGAGATGCTTTCACTGGGACGTTAAACCACTGGGGGGGTTTGGGGGTTGCTGGTTCCCCCCCCCCCCCCTTTTCTGGGATTGGCTCAAACAGGTTTCGCTTAAAATGGGAGAATTCCTGTTCTCCCCGACCATCTGCGCACAGATGGAATAGCTTGTTTTGCACGATTTTGCGTGGATTTGGCATGATTTTTGCTTGCGTGGTTTTTTTCACGGTGTTCCGCGCGGGACGGTGTTTTGTCGCTCGGGACGCCTCTGCTGGGGATGCTGGGGGTGTGGAGACGCTGGGAGATGCTTTGTTCTCGCGGCTGCGATTTACGGATGTCACGTTGTTTTTTTTGCTTTTTTGCTTGCTAGGGACCTTTCGGTGTGATCGACGCTGGCACGGATTCTTGGTGGCAGATGAGAACTTTGAAGGTTGAAGTGGAGGAGGGTTCCATGTGAACAGTTAACGAAGCAGGAGGTCGGCTCTTGCCGACCCCTGGAACATGCAGGACATACGCGCAGTATGGCCTTGCCTTGTCAAGCCTGCACAGCGGTGCGTCGCATGCTTCGAGACGCTGGCGCAGTTGGCACTGCTGCAAGCTACCCACAGCCATATTGGTGGTGGGCACTACTCTTTCAGCATGCCTTCAGGCACTGATAATTCGGCAACGGAAGCAGGCCTTAACAAATTGTTCACGACCTCCTGGCAGCTCTTCGTGCAGTTAACAGCCTTCTGGGCTCACGCGCACAACGTGCTGCTGCAGCCAACACACGTTCCGGGAAGGAACAATGATTGGGCAGACGACCTCAGCAAAGGTCGTGTTAAAACCCTCTAGGCCCCGTGCCGAAATTGGGTAGCAGTTCTGAGGTCCTTGTTGGTGTTGCTTCCCAGGTTCCATTGATCGCCATTTGGCTCAAGACACAATTGAGGTTCAAGATCTGATGTGTGACTGCGCACATACGTGACGGGCATTAAGAGCAAAACAACTGCTTGCGCCGCTTTGTCAGGACCACTGGTGTGATTATCATTCCTTCTTCCTTACAACGTTTACACGGGTTCGGCTATAACGGCATCGTCCGTATACACCTTTCTACGTGGTTGGTATTACAGCTTGAGGGTTCGGTGCATAGCGTCCCACGGGACGTCACCTTGCAGTCTCTTGACAGGTTATCAGCCGTAACTACAAGCTCTACACTGGACTGGGAGACAGCTGGTTTATTGCGGGTACAGGGACAATAAAGGAACGATAACCTACACAGTACAATGGCGTCTTCGGCGAGCCCAAGTACTGCAACTTTTGGGAACAGCAGCTCAGAGGGATCCAATGGATTGATGGCTCTTCCTGCGGTGATGGAGATGGTTGCAGATTCACAGGATGAACCTGGGAGCGGAGGTTCCGCGCTATTCAGCGACATATCTACTCCCACAAGATCATGGAAGCAGATCGATGTTCATCAGGAGTCGAAGAAAAGAGAATCCCCTCCGAGAAGATCATCATCTTCGCCTGCGACACCACGGACGTCGCAGAAGGGCGTGAGATCGACATCGAAGGGTGGGAGGTCAAAATCACCCACCAGTGCAGATTTTAGCGCCGTGATCAAAGAGAAGAATAAGATGGAGGTGGAGATCGGGGAATATCAGAAGACACTTGATGAAATGTCGGCAGCAATGGCGAATCTTAACCAAGAAGATTATGGAAGCACCATCCGGATCCAGGAGCTGGAAAGACGATGCGAGATTGCCAGCAAGCAGTCGGGACATCTAGTGAGTCACCACCAACACCACATGGCTGAGGCATGGCGAAAGTTTGAGGAAGAAGCCCAACAGATGCGCAAGGTGGAAATGAACGCATTTCAGTACGGGGAGAAGAAAGACATGGAGTCGAATATTATGATGCAACAGATGAGGCAAGCTGAAGGAACTATCATGGAGCAGAAGCGGGAGATTGCATTGATGAGATCCTACATGGCAAGCGAGAAGTCGGCCGCGCAGGAATCAGCTATACGTGCAAATCAGATACACCGTGAGGCTTCACAACAGATATCAGCCTATCAGAAACAGATCAGAGGCATAGAATCTTCTACATCTATCGAGAAGTTCAACGAGGAGGAGATGGTCCAAAGTCTGAAATCACAGTTGGAGCATGCACTCGTCAAGCGCCCCGAGACGTACTCTTTGGAGGACTCCAGGGAACTGCTGATGACGAGGCTAAATGACGTTACAGTATTTGCAGAACAGGAATCGAAGAGAGCAGATTGCTTGCTTCGCGAAAAAGAAGAGATCGTCAAACAGTACGAGTCCGACGTGTCGATGAAGGACCAGATGATTGCTGTCGAAGGTGGTCATCGTCAGGATGCGATCTTGGAGTTAGCCCAGGTCAAAGAAGAGAAACAAGAGGAACGGTGCACGATGGACGAGAAGTCGAAGGAGGCTGAGTACTGGAGATTGACAGCTAAGGGAATGTACGATGAGTACCTCGAGGAGATGCATGAGCTTCAGAGACAACTGAAGGAAAGAGAGGCGACGCTCAAGCAAGAAGAGAGTTTTGTACGCCAACTCGATGCTGACAACGAGGAACTACGTGCACACAAGAAGCTGGAGACACAGGAAGCCTCCAGCAGCAAAGATGGACATCGTGAACGAGCAGTTGTGAAACGCGCTGAGGGAGGAACCCAGGCTAATTCAAATAGGATAGACAAGAAGGTGGCTGGGTCAGTCCCGTCATCGTCTTCAAATCAAATCCCTAATTCGTCGCTGATGCAAGGTTCGATCCTCTTTCCGTCTTTCGGTGATCCAATGATCGATGTACACCTATCCCAGATGCAAGGGGTTGTTGGGCATGTCCCACAATCCACTACTACGACTGGTGGTGGTGATGGGGGGGGAAACAACGGTACTACGCCCCCATTGGATTACGGTGGATTCCCGCCCAATGGGAATGGGCATGGAGCGGGTCGACGTCAGTTGAGCCTCGCTGGTGGCGGAGGAGGACCTCCGGATGATCCACCCGATGATGAGGATGAGGATGACGACGACGAAGGAGATGAGGAAGACGAGGAAGAAGAAGAGGAAGAAGACGATCGGAAACGGAGGAGACGAAGGAGATCGAGAGATAACCGAGAGATCAAGAATGATCGACCGAGAATCTCGAGGAAAGAGGCCGAGAGAGTATCTATTCCGGCCTGGCCAAAGATCCATCAACTTGACACCTGGAAGATGCAGCTGCTGATGAATGTTCTGAGCGCGTGTGCAGATCCAGATACCGACGCATGGACGAAATGGCTGGAGCAGGCTCTTGGGTTGAACCCAGACCTGGATTTGCTTAGCGATTCAGGTGGCGACAGATTTGCTACGATAGATATTAAGTTGGCCATGGGCATGCAGAACATGCTGAAACAAGCACCTGACGAAGCCAAGGACGTATACCTCGATGCTACACGACACTCTGAACTACGACATCAACAAGGGTTGATCGTGAAGGGACGAGAGTTGGTGGCATTAGTTATGCAATCATTCAGAACTTCCGATAGAACGGATCTTGTCTACCACATCGAGCATTTATTCAACCTTGATTTTCCTGGCGACAAGAACTTGGTCATGTTCAGGAACAAATGGTATGATTTGCTGCTGAAGATGAGGAGCGAGGACAGACCCAGTAAGCTGGCTCTCAGAGACATCCTTTACAGGAAGATCAAAGGGAGCAAGAAGATGGAGTTCGGCCTCATTGCCTACCATAGACTACCGGACAAGCATCCTCAGAAGACGTATGAATTCTTATTGGCGTTGATCGACTATCAGATCAAGGCAGATCGGGAAGACCTGATGCTCGACATGAAGGAGAAATCGGTCAAGTCGATGATGAAGTCAGGCGGGAAGGATGCGGCTCCAGCCACTGGCAAACAGGAGAACCAGGGTGGCAAGGGCAGAAAGGGGAAACCCGGTGGACCTGATGCCGCTCCTGTGCTCCCAAAAGCCAAGGCAAAGGGCCATGCTGGCAAGAACGGCAAGTCCGACGGTGCCAGCGACAGAGGCAAGAGTCCGGG